GCTTAAAAAGGACGCTTCCTGAGGCTGATAAGTGGGCCCGCTGTCAGTGGTCGTCATAAGATGACCAGTGGCGGTTGGGTGGCCTATAGGTGGGGACGCGGCGGACGCCGAGGAGACGCGCGGCGCGTCTTCTTTGCGTCCGCGCCGACGCATTCGAAGCGCAATTTTGGGCTGGAAATGGGTCCGGGCGGACGCCAGGTGGACGCGATTTGCGTTTGGGTCGCCGTGTTGGGCCTTCATTTTTTCTGCACCGATCCAGACGGACACAGGCGGACAAAATGGGTCGCCCCATTGAAATTGCTCTTATGTATACCCTATCCTATTGATCTTTAGGGCAAGGCCAACGCTCCAGGATGGACCGATGCCCCAGCTGCCAGGTCGGCTCGGATAGTTGAACCTAAGAAAAAGGTGATGCTTGCAGCGCTAGATGGGATCCTACAGAGGAGGTTGGTTCTCCTGTGAAAAAAGTGCAAGGCAGCCAATGGGAAAGCGTTGGACAACACCATTGCTGAGCTCAACAGTACCTTGCTACCTTTTTGTACAGAGAAAAAGCTACCAAACCTGGGAACACTACTACTGCTTCCGTTGGATGAAGGTAGAACTAAACAGTAGCTTCAGTTACTTTTCATCTAGGTGGAGCATGGGGCACTAGTATAGTGATGCCACCATTGTACATGCCCTTACAACAATCTTTGATGCATGCCCTTCCTTCCCTAATCTCTAGACTAAGGTAGGTACGATCCCTTTTTCATGTCCGGTGTGTTCCGCTTTCAATTTGCTGCGGCCTCTAGCTCTGCTCTTTATATGGACTCTTGAATTTTGTGGCAGATGAACTAGCTACTAGGCAGATGACCATGCTAGTACGGTAGTACTAGTAGTAGATCTACAGCAGAGGTGATGACTGATAAGTGATGACATACGATTTGCTTATCTGTCTACTGTTCGGCGAATCTGGTGTACAATCTTTCAATTCCGTCGCGGAAGGCTTCATTGCAGCTTGAGCAAGGGTTTTCTGCAGGATTTAATTAAGATTAAATTGCATCCCGTGAAAGGTGTTCAAAATTCATACGACTCAAAAAGCCCATCGAAACCCCTTATTGTGTCGGATCATTCAGATTTAATTTCAGGACAATATCAATTTTTTTTCTTTGTGTTCCCTAGGATTCAAGGATTTACGACGAAAAGTCTCATTGCCTCGGCTCAGATAACGAGATTTCGAGCATAATTGATTTGTTATCAACATTTGACATTGCAGATATTTGGCAAGCCAACATTTGGCAAAATCAGAAGTTGCTAACATTTTGCAACTTTTTGTGAGATTGGCAATGAAAATTGGCAAGCAATCAATCTCTGCCAAAATTTGGCATGCCAACTTTTGGCATCAAACCAATTATGATGTTCATCTTTAACTCTTTCTTTCGTCGCACTATGGCAATTTGCCCTCTCCAATCTATGTGATCTACCCATCCCTCAGGGTCGGTGAGAGAAGGACACGGGAACATACAACCTGTTTGGTAAACTTCTGGGTAGAAGGGGAATGAGAGTTTGCATGAGAGAGTTTGTGGAGGCGTCACCGCGTCAGACGTAGGAAACATATTTGTGCTCATTTCCCTTTAATTTGGTACATGATGTTAAAAGAGCCCTGCCCAACGAATTAACAAGAACCCAATGAAAAAATTGGTTGGAGTTGGGGCCCTCAACTCTCATTCTCCTTTCCACATTTGCACAAAAAAACACACACACTCTTTTTTGGCGCTCGCGCTGCCCCAGGGGAGCGGCTCGGGCGAACCTGCCGCCGCCGCCCCCAACCCACCCCGAACCATCCTTCCCCGCCGCCGCCGAAGGAAGTCGGCGAGCAAAGCTCATCCGGCGGACGGCGGTGGCGGGCTCGCCCTTCATCCTGGGGGCGGACTCGGGCAGCGCGCGACGGCGATCTTGGACGTCAGGCGTTGCGGCGGAGATCGGAAGCTGGAGTGGCGGCTCCAGGCTTTTCGGTGGGGCTGTGCCTCCATGGCTGTCGGGGCAGCGTGGTGGCCAGCCATGGCGCGCGGTGGCGGCGGATCTGGGTGCCCTCTGCCCATGTTCGTCCTGCTGTGAGTGGTGGCGGCTCGTGGTGTCGTCGGTGCCTGGCTGCGCATCCGGGGTGGTTCTCCACTCCGGGGAGTGGAGGTGGTCGTCGGTGCGGCGGGCGCGTCGGATCTGGGTGTGGCCAGATCTGTGGCCGGTGTTGTCGGAGTCGGCTTGTTCGGCTGCCGGTGCTCGCGGGTGGTGGGTTCCAGCGCCAGATCTGGCCGTAGTCATCCGACCTTGATCGGCGGGCTTCTCTCCTGCGAGTTCCTGACGGTGCCGGTGTAGTTGCCGGGACCCCGACCGCGGGAGAAGCTGGTGGAGGAGATTCAGATTGGGGGAAACCCCTTGGTCGGCCCTGGCCGCGCCCCCGACGACGCTCAAGGGCGCCGATTTTCTTCTTGGAGACGTCAGTCTATGTCTGCTCCTTCATTTCCCCCCATTCCGCCTCTCGGGTGAAAACCCTAACTACGGTGGGCGGTGGCGGCGTCTTTGACGCCGTAACCTTCCTGAAGGCGTCGCCTTGAGGGCTGAGTGGTGGTGGGCACTGTGTGGGTCGTTGATGGTTGCTGGTGATGGGCACTGCTTCGGGGGAAACCCTAGGATCTGGTTTTCTAGATCGGACGATGGCGGTATTGCGGTGCCGTGTCTCTCTTGAGAGCATCGTTTGTGGAGCAGCGCTGGAAGACACAGGCAGGCAGGAGGTGGAGCGGCTCCGTCTTGCACGGAGCTTCAGTGGAGCTGTCAAGTCATATCTGGCCGACAGGTGCTACGTTGAGTCATGCCTGGTTGGCAGGTGCTACGCACGACAGATCTTCCAGAGTCTTCGCGTCTGGACGGACGAGCACAGGACGGTGGCGCCATTGGGCGCCGTGGTGGCGTCGACGGATGTCCGGACTGTCAAGGATGATGCAGATATATCTTCTGAAGATGGGTCAGTGGTTCGATGAAGATGACGGCTTCTAAAATGTGTGCAAGTGGTGTGCGCTTTAGGTCTGCTGCACCGGTTGTTAGTCCCAATACGTTTTGTGGATGGATCGGCGATGACACTGATTTTAGATATGAGGAGCGAGATCACTCCTCATTATCGTATTGGTAGGTGTAAGTGATGGCTTCGGGTGATTTGATGTATGTTCTTGTCAAACCTTTGTGAAATAATTAATAAAAATGACTGCATGCATCGATTGATGCAGAGGCCGGGGTTTAACCTCCTTTTCGAAAAAAAAAATCCGATCTTCGTTGCTCATAAAACAAAAATGTAGGCGGAAAAAGAAAGAATGAGGCGGAAAAAGAACATTGCTCATAAAACAAAAATGTTAGACGACGGCCAGGAGCTAGCTCTACTCTAGCGTCGTGTAGGCGTACCTTTGGTCGCCTTTGCATGCAGGATCTTGTGGGCGCCGGCTGACTAGCGAGCGAGGGTGCCAGGCAGACCATGCGCGCCATTGATTGACTCACTCGAGATCTCTTGTTGCCAGCGCGCATTACATTTGCCTGCGCTGCGCACCCCGCCGGCCGCCCTCCATAAATCCTAGTCTCGAACTCCAGTGGCATCGACGTACGCCACCATTCCCCTCGTCTCTTCCTCTCGCTGAATCCATCCGAGCCCTTCACTGAGCCGCGCACCTTCATCTCTGTTAGTTCCTTCTGCATCCAGCTTTCGGCTCATCCGTCCGTCCATCCATGGCGCCTCGCCCTGCAGCAGCAGCCGGCCTCGCCGTGAGCACCGTTGTAGCGCTGCTCGTGGTCCTCGTCGTGGCCTGCCAGCTGCCGCGCGCCACCGGCGGCGGCGTGACGACGGTCCAGGCCTTCGACGGGACGGCGGCCCTGGGGCTGGAGCAGTGCGCGGCGGACGAGCAGGAGCTGGTCCGGACGCGGACCGCCAGGTACATCAGCTACGCGGCGCTGCGGGCCGACGCGATCCCGTGCAACAAGCGCGGGCAGTCCTACTACACCAACTTCGGGTCGATGCAGCAGGCCAACCCCTACACCCGCGGCTGCTCCGCCATCACGCGCTGCGCCCGCAACATGAACTGATCCGTCCGTCCATCGGCCGTCGACATGGGTATGCAGTTGTGGTAGATCGATCGACCGATCGGTGTGGTGTGGTGTGGTGTGGACGGACGCACGCGAGTACGTGAGTGTGTGATCTCGAGCATGCATTATTAGTAGTAGCAGTACGTAACTTGGTGGTGTTGCTTCCGTCGTGCAGTGTGGTTACGTATTTCTGTACGTACTTCGTGTATGCTCATGCGTGGAGTAGTAATTTCTGGCTGGATCTGCGTCTGCATGTCTGTGTGTGGTTATATTCCTATTTTCTAAAAATACAAAACAAAATCACACACACACACACACACACACACACACACACACACACACACATTATGAAAAAACCAATGATTCTAGGAAAAATATAAAATAAGCTAGGCACATTTACGTTTTTTTTCCGTGTTAATCCTAGTTTTACCTAATTTCCATCTAAAGATATCTACAATTTTCCCTGGAATAAAAGTACTGAAAATGAATTTGATTGTAACTAGAACTTGTTCAAAAAGGGAAAATCGTAGATATCTTTAGATGGAATTCATTTACAGTCAAATTCCCATTCTGTGCTTGCCGGTCAACCCTCTCCAACATACCACACGGCCCTCCCGGCCACCTTCAAGAAGCCACAACCCAGCCACCCATCCCCCACCACCACCGTGCGCCTCACACGACCCACGATCATCGCAATGGCACTCCTCCTCCCCCGCATGGTGCATATCATGCTAGGAGTCCCGCTCGCCTACTCCACTCTACTGCGGGAACAACACACCCGCTCTGTATGCAGCAAACTTCTTGGGACGTGTTTGGTACTCGCTCCGTCCAAAAATACTTGTCATCAAAATGGACAAAAAAGGATATATTTAGAACTAAAATAAATCTAGATACATTCCCTTTTATTTATTTTGATGACAAGTATTTTCAGACGGAGGGAGTAGATTGCATCGTTTTTGGGGTCTTTACATCTCTGACTCAGTTGGGCCTGACTGAATAAATACATGCCAAAAACCATGTTGTGCGTGTACCTTGAAAGCCTGCATGTAGGTTGGCTGCATCACGGAAGCAATTTTCCCTCGAGGATACAACATGCAAGAACAAGTCTAACCCGAGTGGGGAAAGGGTAGAATGACTTCTGATTCAGGATCCTAAATCTATTTGTTTTGTTTAATTAAGAGCGTTGGTCTTTAATTTGTTAGAGTAATGTTTAGGCCAGCTAGCTCTGTTTGTTTGCTGAACTTGCTTGATTAAGAAGTGTGGGTGTGCTATAGTCTTCTTTGTGTACCCAAATTATGCAATGATGTGGATGACCACTGTAACCAGGAAAATTGGAACCAAATTTTTTGACGTTCAAACTCATCACACACGGATTAAGCTATCTGAATCATTTGTGATGTTCACATATCACACACAGTTTTAAATAAGGGACCGTGTCTGATGACATTGTGCGCCAGTTTTTTCGCTGAACCGATTCAATATTTTCGGCTTCGGCGGAAATATCTACCTCCCCGGCCCCTCCCCCTTACCAAAAGTCACATTTTCCCTGTTTCCGCCTTCCTTTCCAAGTTGAAACCTTCACTCCTTGCTTGCAGCGCCACCCCCCTCGCCGGCGACCCTCCTTCACGCTGCTCGGTCTCGTCAATCCAGGTAGGTAATCCACACCAGACCCCTATCCTCCTCCTCCTCCTTCCACATCTGACATGCCCCGACCTCCGGCGCGACACCTTCCACCCAAATCACCAACCCCTCCACCAAATAAGCGCCGCCCTAAGCCATGGTGCGCGCATTATAGCCAGGAGCTCAAGGAGCATTTGACAGCGGAGAAGCAAATGTCAGCCGCACGCGCGGATGAGGTCCCGATGGCTACCATTCACGCGGACCCCCAGATCTTGGAGGAGCATCTTGCCATTTGCTAGCTATGCCGGTTAAGCATGTTCGGTTTACCCGTTGCATGTGCTACTCCTGCCTTCCCTTAACAGACTCTAGTGAATTGTGCTATCTAATTTTACCATGCAATCTGTTGCTCCTGTATATATGTTCTATATGTCATGCCGTGTGGTGCTCACTTATTAACTGTTTGGTTAATTAGTTGTCGTCTTCAGTTAACTGTTTGGTTCAATTCTGGAAATGTGATGTCCAATTCTTCAGGCTGCAATTTTGTATTGTCTTCCATGAGAGAAATAAATAGAATTTATCTTTACAAAATACATGAGAAACAAATACAATTGCTATATTTCCAAGTTGTCAAGCATGCTTGGTTTGGTTATACATTGTGCAATGTGGTGCTCAATTAATGTTTGGTTCATTTGTGTTATGGTGTTTAGTTAACTGTTTGGTTCAATTCTGCAATGCGATGTTCAATAGTTGTGGGTACATTCTGTTATTGTATACCATATGAGAAGTAAATCGAATTTGGCTGTACTTAAATACATGAGAAATAAATACAATTGCTATATTTCCAAGTTGTTAAGCATGTTTGGTTTGGTTAACTGTCTGATCTTCTATTAGGAGTATGTTATATTGTGCAATGTGGTGCTCAGTTAATGTTTGGTTTATTTGTTGTGGTGTTTAGTTAACTGGTTGGTTTAATTCTGCAATATGATGTCCAATTGTCGTGGGTAGAGTTTTGTATTGTTGTGCATGTGAGGAATAATTCGAATTTGGCTGGACTTAATACATGAGAAACATATACAAGTGTTATATTTCATAGTTCTTAATCATGCTTGGTTTGAATAAATGGGTTTTCCATGTGGCTTGAATTAATCTGATGAATCTGCAATGTGCTTATTTTTCATCAATATATTTTACAGATAGCATGCGAACCCCTACTTAACCTGATGACTAACTACCTTATTTGTGTTGCAGGGAAACAATGGGAATCACTAAGGTTGAAAAACGAGGTTAGCACGTGCATGGTCCGTTGTCTAATAGCACATTATTATGCAATTGCAGGAACCATTCTAATATTTAGGCTTTTAACAATTTAATTTTGCACATGTAGGTCATGCTGTCAGAGATTTTGACCCACTGTTCGACCCTTTTTGCATATGGGGAAATGAGTTGTCCTTGAATATCTATCAAGTCAAGAAACTCAAAAAGATTGTTAGCATAAAGAAATTAGCGACAAAAAAAAGATCTTTGTCTGCACAATGAAGAAGACATCAGTTCACTACAAGATGGTACTAACTATTATACCTTGCCTTTTTTTATTTCTTTGCCCCATTTCCAATATAGAGAAGATATTTATGCACATCCTTGTTTTCAGGCTTTTCCAAATCAGTTCACTGATTATTACCTCTCAAACCACCTCTATGGTTAGGAGGCGAGGAAGTTTTCATACAACACCCATGGTTTAATTTTGAAGTATTCCTAAAGAGGACGAAGGATGGATGGTCAATCATCCACAGGTAATGGCCTAAATTTGCAAAGACCTTCAACATCAATGAAGGCTCTATATTCGCCTTCCGCTTCAGCAGTTTTCCCGATGAGATGCATCTGTCTATGTACCGTCTATGATGCTAATTTCGAAAGGTTCTAGATGTGTGAAACTTGGTGCTGGTGTAGTTGTATAATGGGATAGCTAAGTGCTGAAGCTATACCATGTTGTAGTCTGATGTATTTCAATTATGAAATCATGCTTCCTTAATATGGGAATAAATATATATTATGTGTTTAATATGAATGTCAATTAGATTAATAAATGGATTATTAATAATAGGGGCAATTATCCTGCTACTTTTTTTTGCTATTGCAAACGGTTATTGAGAAAATACTGTGGGCGATGACCTAAGGTAGCGCACACAGTTTCTATGAATAAATCGTGTTGGATCTATGAACAATCACACACGACATTTTCTTCAAACTGTTTGCGTTAGGCCACCTTGCGCAAACGTTTACCACATAAAATCTGTGTGTGATGGACAGCCTTTGCCACATAGTTTTTTCTACTCATCGTGTGTGATGCATTCAGTAACGCAAACGATAAAATTGTTAATATTGTGTGCGATGGCAACGCTATCACAAACGATTTAACGGGGAAAATTGTGTGTGATGTACCCACGAACGGAAACGTTTTCCTTGGAGCGACTATGTGGGATGTATATACGAATGGAAACATTTAGCGGAGACTGACTGTGTGGGATGTACTTACGACCAGAAACGATTTCGCCTGTATAATTGTATTTTTTAGCACTACTGTACGTATAACCGTATTTGCTCGCTCGCCGGTCGCACACGACCTTATTTTGCCGAGCGTATGTACCAGGTGGGCATATCCCTGACGGTTTCTGAGTCGTGGGGGAAGGACCCCCCTATCGCCCACACTCACTTGGCGATGGTTCCAAATGTCGTCGCGGAAAGGGGTGAAAAACCGTTTGTATAGCACCTCGTTGTACCAGTGAGGGGACCATCTTCGACTGTATTGACTTGCAAAGGGTATGAGATAAATGAGAATACATTTTACACGATCGCCCAAGAACAATAGAGCACCAACCAAAACAGTGGTGTCCGCTTTGATGCAGCAATCAAGAGGGGAAAGGACACATATTATGGTTACATAGTGGGCATATGGGAACTTGACAATGGACATGATTTTAAGGTCCCTTTGTTTCAGTGCAAATGGGTCAATCTGACAGGAGGCGGGGTACAGGTAGACCCATAGTACGGAATGACAACAGTGGATCTGAACAATCTATGGTACACAGACGAACCATTCGTCCTAGCCAATGATGTGGCGCAAGATTTCTATGTGAAGGACATGTCTACCACACCGAGAAAAAGAAAAGATAAGGAAGCGGATACATCGTACGATGAGACAAAGCGCCACATAGTTCTTTCAGGAAAAAGAGACATCATGGGATTGGAGGGCAAGACACACATGTCTGAAGATTATGAAAAGTTTCATGAAATTCCTCCCTTGAAAGTCAAGGCTGACCCAAGCACCCTGTTAAACGATGAAGATTATGCATGGTTACAGTGCAATAAGCAAAGGACACAAG